AATGAATGAATAAATGATACAATAACCAAAATTTATCCGCTTCTAATCCATCACACTTTAACAGACAAGCTTTGGGAGGGTTTTCAATAATTCAGAATATGAAGGGGACTGAATATATAGCTCAGCAATAGAATACACGGCCTTAGATTGTATCCAAAGCACTGTAAAAACAAAAAGATCCTGAAAGTATAAGAGTGGTTGATACAGTTCAACCCTCCCATTTAATTTTTAAAATTTAAAAAATATATGGGGAGGTGGTTGCAGGGGTAGAGGGGTGCCCTGGCCTGCAGGGCACAACAGGTTCAAGCCCAAGGAAACCTGGAATGAATGAGACAAGAGACAAGGGGGAGATGGACAGCAAGACAACATGGCTGATCAAGCTGTTTAATCAAAGTTCTGTACAGGCTTTAATAGGGGAATGTGGCTTTGGCCATGGGGCTAAGGTTGTTAGACAGGAGACGCCGGAGGGGGGTGAGGGAGGAGTGAGGCAGGGGCCTGTTAGGAGCAGGAAGCGGGTGTTTGATAAGAGAGCAGGAGATCTCACCAGGGAATGTAGGTGTTAGCTTTGTTAGGAGGTTGGTTATCTCTGGCTGTGGGCCATCTGTGGGAAGGCACCTGAGTTTTGGAATGTGCCCTGAGGTAAGAAGTAGAGCCAGTGACCTGGTCCCCAACAGAGGGGTGTCAATGACACATGCCATGGTATTCCTGTGAAGGTCAGAGGACAGCTTGGGAGTTGGTTCTTTCCTACCATGTGGGTCCTGGGAATTACACTCAGATTGCTGGGTGTTTTTACACACGGAGCCATTTTACAAGGCCCAAATCCTCACTCTGAGCACTCAGGAGGCTGAGGCAGGAAGACAGAGGCAGGCCTGTCTACACATTGAGTTTTAAACCAGCTGGTTACATAGCTAAACCCTGTTGTAAAATAAATACACAATAATAACTCTCAACATTCTATTGAGGTAAGACATATCTAGAGAAATTGTCCAGAGTTTATAAATAAGCAGATGAAGAACTTGCTATGATTATGTTCATTGTATTGCCAGGGTATACCTCTGGTTTATTTTATATCGACTAGGCCATCTTACATCTTTTTGTTCTTTCAAAAGATGTCTGTGAACGAGTGTTTTCCTTGTATGTACATATATATATGGCATTTGAGTGCCTGGTACCCGAAGATGTCAGAAGGCATCAGATCTCCTAGAACTGGATTACAGATGATTGTGAGCCTGGGAATTAAACCCAGGTCTTCTGCAAGAGCAACAAGTGCTCTTAACCACTGAATCATGTCTCTCTCCAGCCTATATCTTATGTCTTTGTAGGAACTGAAGTGAAACTGTATGGAGCTGATGACAATGTAATTAGACTTATCCATGGTAATACTAATGAATTCTGCCCAGTAAAGATGGAATTGATTTCCACATGAAAAGGCCATTCCAAACATTATAGGTTTTTTGTTGTTGGCTTTGTCAGTATGAGGGATCAAACCTAGGGCCTCAATGCATGCATGCTAGGCAAACATCCCACTGAGCTATACATTACACTTTAATACTCAGGATGTTAAGATTTCTAACTGGGGCTGGAGAGATGGCTCAGAGGTTAAGAGCACTGGCTGCTCTTCTAGAGGACCCAGGTTCAATTCCCAGCACCCACATGGCAGCTCACAACTGTCTGTAACTCCAGTTTCAGGGGATGTGACACCCTCACACAGATATACATGCAGGCAAAACACCAACACCCATTAAAAAAAAAAAAGATTTCTGCAACTAGAAGCAAAATCATTTCAGAGTTTCAGATGCTGTTTCACTATATAGCTCTGCCTGGCCTTGAACTCTGTGCAGATCAGGCTGGTTTCTAACTCAAAGAAATCTACCTGCCTCAGACTCCAGAATGCTGAAATTAAAAACAGAAGTCATAATGCCTCATGTGGGTAGCTAAAATTTTGAAACTCAAATTCTCATTTAAACAAGTCTTTATTTTCAGTACCCTCATTACTTAAGGCATTGCCAGATACACATGTGGCATAGGATGATGAATACAATTTTTGGCATGTGTTTATTTTTATATGAGTTGTTTTGGGCACACATTTTAATCCTAGCACTTCGGAAACATAAGAAGACAGGTATGATTTCCAAGCCAACCTGGTCCACATAGAGAAGAGTTGTAGGCTAGCCAAGACTACATAGTGAGACCCCATCTCAAACAAAACAACAACAAAAACCCCAAAAGGAAGCTGGGCATAGTGACACGCCTTTAATCCCAGCACTTGGGAGGCAGAGGCATGGTGATCTACAAAGCGAGTTCTGGGACAACCAAAGCTACACAGAGAAACCCTGTCTCAAAAAACAACAAAACAGAAAAGAAAAAAATTGTAGGTTGGTGTATGTTCTCCACCTTGTATTTTTTTAAGACAGCCTCATTGAATTGGTGAACGGGAGCTCACTAATTCCATAAGGGTAACTGGCCCACAAGTTCCATATTCTGCTTGATATATTTTTAACATTTAAAAAATTATAACCACGCCGGGCGATGGTGGCGCACACCTTTAATCCCAGCACTTGGGAGGCAGAGGCAGGAGGATCTCTGTGAGATCGAGACCAGCCTGGTCTACAAGAGCTAGTTTCAGGACAGCCTCCAAAGCCACAGAGAAACCCTGTCTCGAAAAACGAATAAATAAATATAACTTAGCTGACTATAAGGTAATATGTACCAGATGGCAATACATTATAAGAATAAAAGTAAGGTTACAGGATAGTTAAAACTTAAGATATAATACATATTAGTCTTTGATTTTTCTGAGACTAAGTCTCCTGTGGCCCAGACTGGCCTACAACTCTTACCTCCACTTACAAACTGCTAGGATTACAGGTGTTTCCAATTATCCATTCCCAGCAGCATTTTATTTAAAAAAAAAAAGAGAGAAAACAAAACAATACTGTTGTCAGATGCCCGCCCCGCCCCTCCCTCCCTCCCAGGCGATCATTTCTAAAAATATGGATCACTCCTTCCTATCCCTTGGATCCTGAGTGGTGGGTGGAGTCAGGTGTGGTTGGGCTTAGTTAGTTTACAAAATCTGAGTCTCTCAGAAGGAATACAAAACTAGGTACCGAGTCTTGAAAAGGATCATGTGAAAGCCAGATCTTGAAACTGAAGCTTCTACGCATTTCCTGCAATTTCGCTTCTGCCTACAGATCCGGCCTAATTTTGCTCTACCTCGGGATCTTTATGCAATTTGAGCCCAGAGGCTTCCCCCGCACACACACCTCGTGAGCATCTTTAGATTTTCTAGCACAGCCACCGCTGCGGGGCTCCCAGCGGGTCTCTGGCGGGCGGTGTTTGCACTTGGCGTGCGGAGGCAGGCGGAACCCTGGGAGAGCCGCAAGCCTAACTCCCTCCCCCTTTTGCCGCTGCTAGTCTAAGCGGCTCTCAGTCCTCCCCGGAACCCGAGAGTACGCAGCTGCGGTTCCGGTCGGAGTTTCTTGGCGTTGCCCACTGAAATGGCTGCGCCCGTCGTAAGGGGCGTTCGGAAACTGCTGAAGCTCGTGGACTTCACGCCGGTCCCGCGGAGACACCGATATAAGAAGAAATGGGTAAGGTCTGGCGGGGGGACGTTAGAGGGACGCTTATCCAGTCCTTGTGTTTTCGGTCGCTCACAGTTGCACTCGGGACATCTATTCCAGGGACCTTAACCTTTTCGAAGCTGTTGTCACACTTCTGTGTGCCCTTTTATTAACCACGTCTCTTCATGTTGCATAAGCAGCCTCCTGACTCCGCCCCTCTATGTTAAGTCATCTACTCTGTCATTCTTTTGGTGACGTCACATCGCCTCATGTTCCTTTTTCTTGCTTACCTTTACCTTACCCTCTCCATCCCTTCTTTCCCCTTTTCTTTCCCCCCTTTTCCCCTTCCCCTCTTGTCCCATGACCACTTCTCCTTTCCTCCTTGAACTTTCAGCCCCCACAACCTCACCCCTAGCAAAAGATCATAACAACTGCCCCTTCCCTCCTGGGTCTCCATCGTCCTGCCGTAAGGAATTCAACCCTGTCCTCACTTTTGAGGTGCCTTTGGGGCCCAGGAAAGAGTTCAACGACCACCTAACCTGTACTACTGGCCTTTCTCCAAATGCAGGCAAAAGGTTCACCAACCCCCCTTTCTCTTGCCTCACTATTACATCTCCTTGCTTACCCCGACGGATTCCCTCCCCACCCCCTCAGCCCCCTTTATCTTCCTCCCCACCCCCACAGGGGGTGTGTTCGTTTGAACCCTTTTCTCCACTCCTGGGAAGGCTGTACAACCAAGAGTTAGCTGGTTCATCCCCTCCGAGCCCTTGTTTTGAACGATTCAGCCTTAAGGGGTCACCCTCTCCTCAACGTAACCTTTGTTGCAACTGGACCGGTTCCCCAAGATCTCAGCGTCCGTGTCCTCCAAGCCCGTGCTTTTGTTACTGTAGTCCGGTGACTTCCCCATCTCTTATTCATCAGCCACCCAGAACCAGCCCAGTAACCTCCCCTCAATTCACTCGCATATCCTTAGAGACTGGCCCTGTAATTTCAACTCCCTGTGTGCCTGGTTCCCAAGGAAATTACTCCATAATTTCACCCCTTCTTACCCATAAGCCCCTGAGAACTGGCCTTACAATTTCACCTCCTCTTGCTCACCGACCGGTGGTCCCCACATCCATTTCTCACTGGTCGTCCGGGAGAAGTTACAATGACCCTCCTCTTTCCTCAGCATCTACCCCACCGGCTGGCAGCCTTTACCATGACCACCCTAAGCCTCCAGACTCTTGTGAACCTAAACTGCAGCTTGATGGATCTCTTGGGAAAAACAGTGGTGGTCCTCCACTTTCTTCTCAGGCAGTCATGCCTTGCTCTCCCATCTTACCCCAAGAGGGCTCTTTTCAGTACTCCCATCTTTGCTCAGAGTCCCAGGTATCTGCCTCTAGGAGTCCTTACTGCATCATCAACCTACCATCTGAGAGTGCTGGTTCTCCTGGCTCATCCCAGCCTCAGTCTTCCCACAAGTCTTGCTTAGAATCCTTTCTATCTTGGCAGACTGGGGGGAACTCTTACCTCTTGCTAACCCCAGGTGATGTAGTTTCCGGTCCTCCCTGCCCCATAGAAGCACCTCTTCCTCAGTGTCCTTATCCTGCCCTGTATTTCCCATCTCCCCAGGGCAACCAGGTTGTAGCTCCACCTCAGTCTCCCGGAAGTTATAATGAACCCCCTCTTCCTACCCCAGCTCCCCCTCAAGTGAAGTCCCCCAAATTCTCAGATTCACAACGCGCTCCCTACAGGTGTCGTTCCCTGGTCAACACACTACACCACACTCCTCATGATCATCCTAAGTCCCATAAGACCAACACCTCTCCTCAGCCTCCCTCCCGGTCCTGTGGCCTCTCTAGTCCCCTTATGGAGCCGTCCATCACAACTACTTCAAATTTCTTACGAAAAGAACTTCCCCCAGAGACTACAGTGGACCCAGGAATCCATAAAACTGTTGCCCCTACTTCCTATCCCCAGTGCCTGCCTTGTAATCTTTTATCGTCCAATAGATGTCCTAAGAACAGTCCCCACGGACCATCTCCAGTATCCCCCTGCAATACCCATACGTATTCTGTGGTTTCATCCCCACTCTCTAGTCCCCTAAATTGCTCTACGCGTCTTTTTCAGTGTCAGCCTGTAGTTCCCTGTGGCACTTACACAGCTCCCAGGGGTTCACCACCACCCAATAGCAAACCTGTGGTACCTCCTTGTTCTACCCACATCTATTCTTTTATCCCTCTGAGGACACCCTTTGACCCCCGATGTTTACCTGTTGTCCCTCGAGCTCGACTTTGCCCCAATACTATTCCCTGTGGCCTTCATACCTATGCTGTGTCCTCTCCAGGCCCACTCACAGAATCCCCTCAGATTCCCTACAGCTCTTCTTTGCCGTCACCCAAGAGCTCCACTTGTAGCACTAATGCCAGCTGTAGTTCAACCATTATTATTAGTAAATGTCATAGTAGTGAGAACCAGAGTATCCTCCAAGAGAAAAGTCAGAGCCAGAACAAGAGTTCCCTTCGTAATCGAAGCAACAGTCCCCAAGACAGGGGTTTCTATCGGAGCAGAAGTTGGAACCGGAGCAGCAGTCCTACCCAAAGGGATACTCAGGAACACAGTGAGTGTATCCACTTGAGCATCAGTGAGGGACAGAGTGAAAAATTTCACCGTAGCAGATCACCAAAGCAGAACAAGAGTCCTCGAGGTGATAAAAGTAAGAACAGGAGCAAGAGTCCTCACCACAGGAAAAGTCATGGTCGGAGCAAGAGTCCCCCCAATAAGAAGAAATGATGACCATAACGGAAACCCAGGTTAGAGCAGAAGTTGCAGGAACAAAACTGTAAGCTATAGCATCTCAGTTGTTGCAACATCAGACCAACTTGTGGACTCCTCATCTGAAGTCTTCAGTTCCTTTTTAATCGGACTCGAGTCCTTCACTGCTAGCCCCATAACAGTCACCCTGGACGTTTCTGCTTTAATTCATATCTTAAGACTTTTGAACTGTCTTGATTCTGCCTTCCTGGGGTCTAGGAAATCTTCTAAAACAACTGAGCTCTATGATTCTGTGCATCATGTTGCCCCTTCACTGCACGGTCTTAGGTAAGTGACTCTCATTGCTCCAGGTGTGAAAGGTATTCATTATTATTGTTGTTTTTGTATCCTGTTGAGCATTACTGTCATAGAGCTCTCATACGCTAGTAGACATGAACAAGTTTCTGAAAACAGGGTTATAAAGAATAAAAGTGTCTGGATGGGCATGGTGACACACACTCTTAATCCCTGTACTGGGGAAGCAGAGGAAGTGGATCTCTGTGAGTTCTAGGCCAGCCTGGTCTATAGAGCCAGTTCTAGAACAGTCAGGGCTGTTACACAGAGAAACCCTGTCTTGAAAAAGCTTAAACCTCAACCCTTCCCAGGGCTTGAGGAAATAGTTTCTTGAAGAGTTTTCTCTTGAGTTACTTAGTCCCCTTTCTACTTTTCAGTGCTAGTTATCAAATCTAGGGGATCATATGTGCTAGGCGAGTACTGTCACACACTGAGCACACATTGAGGTGCATCCCAGCTCAGGCCCTCACCCACTGCCCCTTTTCATTTTTTGAGACTTACATGTTTCTCTCTCTCTCTCTCTCTCTCTCTCTCTCTCTCTCTCTCTCTCTCTCTCTCTCTCTCTCTCTCTCTCTCTCTCTCTGTGTGTGTGTGTGTGTGGGTGTGTGTTTGAGATAGTCTCTTGTATCCCAATTTGTCTTGAACTCTGTGTAGCCAAGAATGATCCTCCCTTCTATCCCCTGAGTTGTAGGATTACTTACAGGAAACTTTTTAAAATGACATCTATGTATTTATTGGTATGAGTATGGGTGTGTGCATGTGTGCACATATATGTTATGTTATACCTGGGGGAGTCAGACAACTTGTGGGAATCAGTTCTTTCCTTTTACCAAATGGTTCCCAAAGATCTAACTCACGTGGTAGTCACACCCATTCTGCCACCTTGCTAAGAGACTCCTGATGTGTAACTCAGTCTGGCCTCAAATTTGCTTTTGTAGCCCCAAGGCTCACTTTGAATTCTGGATCCTCATGCCTCAGCCTGCTGAGTGCTGGGATTACAAGTGTGCACCACTGTGCCTAGCATTGGCTGTCTTTCTTGAAGACCCCTACACAGTTACTATAAGAGGTATTGTGTCCCTTCACATTGCTGTGATATGAAGGCTAACTCTTCAGTCTCCCAATTCCCAATTTCTCCTTTGGTAGGCAGAGGTAGGATGCAAAGGCAGGAGAGAGCACTGAGTGGGTTTGAATTTGTCTCGGGGCTCAGACGTGTTGGTAGATATGTCAACTAGTTTTATATCACCTGACACAAGCTAGAGTCATGTGAAAGGAAGGAATTTCAATTGAGAATGCCTCCATTAGATTTGGCTGTGGGGCTTTTTTTTTTCTTTTTCTTTTTACATACCAACCCAGTTCCCTCTCCCTCCTCTCTCCCCTTTCCTCCCATCCCCACTCACTCCTCATAGGGGGTAAGGGTAAGGCCGTCTCTTAATCAGTCATTGATGGTGGAAGGCCCAGCCTGTTGTGGGTGGTAGTCCTGGGTGCTATAAGAAAGCAGGCTGAGCCGGGCGTTGGTGGCGCACGCCTTTAATCCCAGCACTCGGGAGGCAGAGGCAGGCGGATCTCTGTGAGTTCGAGGCCAGCCTGGTCTACAAAGTGAGTTCCAGAACAGCATCCAAAGCCACAGAGAAACCCTGTCTCGAAAAACCAAAAAAAAAAAAAAAAAAAAAAGAAAGCAGGCTGAGCAAGCCATGAGTAAGCAAGCCGATAAACAGCACCCCTCTGTGCTCTCTGCATTAGTTCCTGTGGTTCTTGCCTTGGCTTCCCTCAATGACGGACTGTCACCTGGAAGTGTAAGCTGAAATAAACCCTCCCCTCCTCAAGTTGCCTTGGTCATGATGTTTCATCACAGCAACAGAAACCCTAGGTAAAACAGTAAAGTCAGGTGATAAGAGAGAGTCAAAACTAGAAAGATTGATCTGCTTGCCTTTTTTGTTTGTTTGTTTTTGTTTTAGGCTACCACAGAACCAGAATTCCCTGCTAGTCGGCTTGCTCTGCAAAATTTTGACATGACCTACAGTGTACAATTTGGGGATCTTTGGCCATCAATTCGTGTTAGTCTTCTCTCAGAACAGAAGTATAGTGCATTGGTCAATAATTTTGATGCTTGGGATAATGTGAGCGCTAAGCTGGAGCACCTGGGTGCCAAGGACTTTGTGAAAGAAGCCATCTCTCCCCAGGAACTGGAGCCTGAGAGTGACCTCTCTCCACCTCCATCCCTGAACTACAGTCCAAACCTTCGATGCTTCACTTTTCCCAGGGGAGATATCAGCCGCTTCCCTCCTGCTAGGTAGGATCTGGAACCATGAGGGTCGTCCTGGCACTCTTTTTGTTCTGTTAACACTCTTATGGAAATACCTGCCCTCTTTTATATTTGAGGTGCAAAGAAGTTAAGGAGTTTATTCGATTTTGATCCTTCAGAGAGTAAGTGGTATAGTTGGTATTTAGACCTAGGTGGTCTGAGCCCCAGAACCAGCACTGGGAACCTGTTCTGACTTACTGTCTCCTATAGAAAACATCTGCCTTTCACAAGAGCAACCCATTGCATCCTTTCCAGTGAAAATGCATCTGCCTCACTGTGTACCCCTGCAGGCCCCTGTGAAAATGAGACAAGAGGAAGTGGGCTTTGGTAGGAAATAGGGGTTGCCTAGGAATGCAAGTGAGTGACAGATCTGAAGAAAGACAGAGCTTCCAGTGTCTTGAGGAGATGCTTATGTGTATGAAATGCAGTAAGAAAAGACTGCACAGTCAAGAACAGGAAGCTGGGCATGGTTGTACCAGCCTATAATACCAGCACTTGTTATCATAAAGCATGAGGCTAGATGGGCTACACAACAAGACTCAGTCTCAAAACAAAACAGAACTGTAGGGGAGGAGGTTCAGGAGTTTGAAGTTGTTACTATCCAAAATAACAAAAAAACTGAGAGTCCTGTCTATAATAGCAGATTCATTTTCTTTTGCTGAATATTGGAATCCAGAGCCTGTCATACTAGGCAAACACTCTACTATTGGGCTACTATAGGTACTCTTATTTCAGATGGAGAGGCCTAGGTACAGAGAAATAACTTACTGAAAGTCACCCAACTAATGAGAAGTGGGCTAGGTTTGAGACCCAGAAAGTCTGGCTGAGGAGTGCAGATTTAGCTGTCCTCTAGGATCGTGGCAAGGAGGAAGTGAAATTTGGCATACTGAAACATCTAACACAGAGCCTATGACAGCATTTGTCAATAACCTCTCACAGCCAGGTGCAGTGGTACACACCTGTGATCACAGCACTTGAGAGGTAGAGGCAAGAAGATCAGGAGTTTAAGATCAAGGCCAGAGCCGGGCGTTGGTGGCGAACGCCTTTAATCCCAGCACTTGGGAGGCAGAGGCAGGCGGATCTCTGTAAGTTCGAGACCAGCCTAGACTACCAAGGGAGTTCCAGGACAGCCTCCAAAGCCACAGAGAAACCCTGTCTCAAAAAACCAAAAAAAAAAAAAAGAAAGGAAGAAGAAGAAAGACTGTCAGTATTTTCGTCTGTTTCACTTAAGATCATTTAGTTACTGCATGTACTGAGATAGATTGGGTGAGCATTGGCAAGCAGTCCCGAGGCATTGGCTGCCCACGGAGTCAAGGAGTAAAAGCTGTGTGATCTAAGTTAAAGTATTGGCATCCTTTACAGGGCTTCTTAGAGAAGAGAGAAAGTGAGCAGTGTGGCAGATTCTGGAGATGGTTTGTCCTTTCACTGCCTCTTACCAACTCCTTCTCCCCTTGGGCTTCCTATGACCCCATCATCCCTTACCCCATTGGGCTTCCTATGAAATCACGTGGGTCTTTCTCTCAGCAGTCCAGGGAGGTTCTGTCAATTTATGAATAGCCTGATAATATCTGTGACATAGCATTGGACTTTTAGCAGATTCCCCAAACTGAACCAGTTTAAGGAGGGCGAGAAGGAAAAGACTTGATGAGGGTAGCTTTTATTAGCTGTTGCTTGTATGTTTGCAGTTCTGTGCCTTTCTCTTATTAATCTTTGTGAAACATGAGGTACAAACAACCCAAGTGTGGTTTGATTTTGAAACTATCCTATGGAAGCCTGAGCCTCTTCGTGAAGACTTGGGGGTGCTGTAACTTGGGGCCTAGGGATTATCATGGCTGGCAGTGGTACTGTGCCATGTCTCATTGCACCCTTCTAGGGTCATTGTCTTGTTAGGTTTCTGTATCTTTGAGTCTGTTCCAAGGCTACCCTTGCTGCCCTCCATCTTAGGAAGGGGAGTGGTTGCTCACCACCAACTAACAGTCCTCATGGTGACAGGTCTATGGGTCAGGAAGTCCTGTGACTTGATCATCCACCCTTTCTACCCACTCTGTCACTGCCTGCCCAGCTTTTTAAACCCCAAACTAGCTAACCAGGTGATTTCCCTAAAACCTTTTGATTACTTCCTGTAGGTTATAGTCCAAAATCCTTAATACGGGGTTTAAGGCTTTTTGTGTTTGTCTTGCTTTTCAACCCCCATCTTGGGCCTTTTTTCCCCTTCTTCCTGCCACTAAGGATTAAACCCAAGGCTTTATCTATTCTACACAGGCATTCTACCATTGAGAATGTAGGCATGTCCCCAGTATGCTTTTAAATATTTTATTTATCTTTTATTTTTATATGTGAGTGTATGTCCCCATTGTGTGCAGGCTCCTGCAGAGCAGAAGTGTGTGCCAGATCCCCTGGAATTGGAGAAGGTTGTGAGATGCCATGTGGGTGCTAGGAGTTGAACTTGGGTTCTCTGGAAGAGCAGCCAGTGCCATTGACTGCTGAGCCATCTCTCCAGCCTTTCCCACTAAGTCCCACTAAGAACTCAGGTTTTGGTTAAAATCTTGCATCAAAGTCGTAAAGTGCCATTACTGACAACTTCAAAGAGTTTGAAGGCATCTAATGAACAATGAGACACAAAGCATCATTACAAATAGGAGAAACTTGCTGGGTGGTGGTGGCGCACGCCTTTAATTCCAGCACTCGGGAGGCAGAGGCAGGCCGATCTCTGTGAGTTCAAGGCCGGGCTGGACCCTGTCTCATAAAAAAAAAAAAAAACAAATAGGAGAAACTCTAACAACATCCAACATTGACATCTTCATCCCTGTCATACTTCCTTGGACTGTCGACTAGTTGGCATGCTTAGTGAACTCGAGTGAAGCTACACTTTTTTTCCTCCTAAAGACGTTGCTAAGTTCTCTTTATCTGTTCAAAGACATAGCCCAAGTTTTCACAGTGTCTTCAGGTGTTTTTTTTTTTTTTTTTTGGTTTTTTCGAGACAGGGTTTCTCTGTGGCTTTGGAGGCTGTCCTGGAACTCGCTTGGTAGTCCAGGCTGGTCTCGAACTCACAGAGATCCGCCTGCCTCTGCCTCCCGAGTGCTGGGATTAAAGGCGTGCCCCACCAACGCCCAGCACAGCCAGTGCTCTTAACCTCTGAGTCATCTCTCCAGCCCTTCATTCTTTTCTCTTTTGCCTAGAATGTTCTTCCCCTTTTACCCAATGAAGGCCTGTGAGTCCTCATCCGGCCCAACTCAGGTAACCCCAGTACATACAATTGATGAGCCCTTCTTTCTGAACCAGTGAAGAACTTTGCGTCTTGATGTGTAGCCCAATAAAATTGAGTTTCTGCTATGTGCCAAGCACTGTGTTGTTTCAAGTCTTGGGAACAAACCAGGCAAAATCATTGTCCTCCCAGAGCTACATTCTAATATGGGAAAATAAACAGGCACACGCATACACAGTTGCACATTTAAAGTGAAGAGCAAGTGCTTTAAAGAAAAATAGTGCAGCTGGAGACAGAAAGTGATGGGAATGATGCTGTCTGTTATTTTAGGTAGACTAGCCAGGGACTGCAGTGGCTCTGAAGAGGTCACTTTGAGGCAATGCCTGATAGAAATGATGGAGCACATCAGGGACAATTAGAAGAAGAGTGTTATGGGCAGAAGGCATAGTGGTTGAAAGGCCTGAGATAGAAGCACGTGTGGCTAGTTTGAAGTCAATTGATCTGATTTCAGAAGGATCACTCAGGAATGGGGATGTAGCTTAGTTACAAGCATCCAGAGAACCCTGAGTTTTATCACATTGCATAAGCCAGGTGTGGTGGCTCAAACCTGTAATTCCACAGTTCATCAGTGGAGCAGGAGGATCTCAAGTTCAATGTCATTCTCAGCTTCATAGCAAGCTTGAGGCCAGCCTGGGATACATGAGACCTTTATCTTATTTCTTAAAAAAAATCACTGTGAATATTATATAGATCAATGAATGAGTAGTAGACACTATATAGATGAATGAATGTCTGAAAAATAATTTTGCTGAGTGGAGCTCACTGACCCTAAAGGGCATGGACTTGATCACCTTGATTCCCAGTAAGTGTGATGGCCTTCTCTCTTCCAGACTTGGCAGCCTAGGACTCATGGATTACTACCTGATGGATGCTGCCTCCTTGCTGCCTGTCCTGGCTCTTGGTCTGCAGCCTGGAGATACTGTGCTTGACCTGTGTGCAGCTCCTGGGGGGAAAACACTGGCATTACTTCAGACTGGCTGTTGCCGTAAGTCGTGGGATGGTATCTTAGGCAGGTTGGGGTCCATCACTTCACTCCAGTCAGGGCACACTGAATGTGATAAGCTTTCTGGTCCCAGGGTTAGAGGGGTAATAATAATTTGCTAAGATTATTGTCAGTTGACTGGCTGGGCAGTGGTGGTGCATGCCTTTAATTCCAGCGTTCGGGGGAGGCAGAGGCAGGTGGATCTCTGTGAGTTCAAGGCCAGGCTGGTCTATAGAGGGAGTTCCAGGACAGGCTCCAAAACCATACAGAAAAACCCTGTCTTGAAAAACAAAAACAGAGTTCCAAGACAGCCAGGACTGTAAAAATGGCTGATCAAGGCTTCTGCAGGCAGATTAAATCAGGGCTCTGATAAATGTATCACTTGACCCTCTCACCCTTTTGCATTTGCTGATTTGTCTCTAAGACAGTCTCATTTCTTTATACTCCTTCCAACACCCTGCTGCCTTTGTTCATGTAACATTTTCTAGGATTCCTCCACCCCACCCCAGCTGTGTCATCTAAATCCTTTCTGTGTCTAAGCCTCGGGTCAACTGTACTACCTCCAGGAAGTCTTCTCTCCTAGCTGCTGCTGGCTTGTCCATAATGGTTCCTTTTCCTGTGCACCCCATGCCATAGCATCACTCAATGGATATGTATCTTCTCCCTGCTCAAGATTATGAATTCCTTTAGTCCTAGCACTCAGGAGGGAGGCAGAGGCAGGTGGATCTATGTGAGTTTGAGGCAAGCCTGGCCTACAGAGCGATTTCCAGGACAGTCAAGGCTGTTACACAGAGAAACCCTGTCTCCAAAAATTAAATAAATAAGTTATGACTTCCTTGGGAACAGGCTGAAGCTTTCTGTGTCTCAGTATCACAGGTGACCGTGGCATTTATAAGTGTTCACTTTAGCCAACTACTGATTGACATCCTGCCTTAAAGTACAAGTCACCTTTTCCCTTAGGCTTGAGAGAGCCACAGGGGATGTGTTCACATCTGACCCAGAGCATAGCCAGGCCTCTCCCGCCTTGGGCCTTTCTGTTAGGTGTGAAACTTCTGTTATTGTGACTCCGAAGCTGGCTTGCACAGTTAGAGTTAGCCTCTAGCCTCTGATAGGCCCATGCATGATTTGCTTTCATCCTTCTGGAAGTTCAACTAGGAAGGTTGAAAAAGAAAAGATGTTGGCACAGGCTTAACAAGTGAGTCCAGAGCAAGAGCGCCATGCTGGGGGCTGTGCCGGTTTGAATGCTGTGAGACCCCATCAGAAGAGAGAGGAAAGAAACAAGCAAAGGAGAAATGCTTCCAAGGTGTTAGCTGCACCTCTTCTTCATCCCAGGTGTAAGGGTTCAGGCATTATGCTGGCCTGCCCCTGTCACCTGGCAGAATGCACTCAGGCAGTACCCTGGTCAGCCTAGGAGCAAAGGACCCCTTTAAAAGAAAGACCTCCACCCTCTTTCTGTCTCCGTGTTTTCCAGCTCTTTCTGCTCTCTCTTTCCCTCTCTCTTTCCACTGTTTCCCTGGGGCAGACAGGACTTCTCCTGGCTCCCTCTTCTGTTCTCTCTCTGTCTCTCTTTACCTCTTTTCTCTTTCCTTTCCCCTTTCCCTCTCCTTTCTGATAAAAGTTCTCACTTAAGCTCTGTCTGCCTGGTCAACCTTGCCTGCCGCAGAATCCGCCAAGGTCCCCCTCAAACTGTATCATAACACCAGGTACTCACCCAAGTCACTGACTTCTTGACCCCAGAACATAAATAGGGTCACAGTATCAGGACAAGCATGAAACTCAGATTTCCTTTGTCAGTCCTCTTGTTTATGCAGGGGAAACTGAGTTCTGGATGGACTGTGAATGTTAACTCTTAGAAGCATTGAACACAGAAGCAGAGCTGGAAACCATCTTTCCTTTCTCACTTTGTGTCCTCCTGAAAATTCCTTCAGAACAGAGTATCTGGTTTTTTTTTTTTTTAAATGTTAAGCAAAACCTCCTCCTAGTAGACACCTGCAGTTCTTCATTACAGATCCCACTTCTCATTTCTCTTTGTTCTGAGGCTGTCAGCTGTCTTTTATCATCAAGCCTTTTGGTTTTTTATTTAAACACAGAATCCCATTTTTAGCCCAGACTTCAAGCTCTTGATTTGATTTCTTCCCCCAGCCTCCAAGGTGCTGGCATTACAGGCAAGTGCCACAGGCCTGCCTTAGCATCAGTCTTACAGGAACATTCTTCATATAATAGTACTAAAAACAACCTGATATTTCTGGTTCTGTTTGTTTTGGGGTTTTGTTTTTTTGTTTGTTTGCTTGGTTGGTTGGTTTTTCGAGACAGGTTTTCTCTGTGTAGCTTTGGAGCCTATCCTGGCACTCTGTAGACCAGGCTAGCCTCTTGCCTCCTGAGTGCTACTGAGATTAAAGGTGTGTGCCAGTAATGCCTGTCTGTTTTTGTTTGTTTGTTTGTGTTCAAGACAGGGTTTCTCTGTATTGCTTTGGAGCCTGGCCTGAAACTCGCTCTGTAGACCAGGATGGCCTCAAACTCACAGAAATCTGCCTGCCTCTTCCTCCTGAGTGCTGGCATTTTTGACATGGGACACCAACTCCCAGCTGCAACCTGGTATTTCTTAAACTCATGTTTCTCAAAAAGGTGGTAGGGCGGGGAGGTAACTCAGCAGTTGTGAACTCTTGTTCCCAGTACCCACATCAGCAGTTCCAAACAGCCTGTAACTCTAGGGGATCTGATTTCCACTTCTGGCCTCCACAGGCATGCAGTGACACAGATTTATATATACGTGAGTAAAAATAAAGAAGAATGTAAGGTAGTAAATTATTACAATAGGAATGTGCCTTGCATACATGAGATGCTTGTCTAAAAAATTTCCAATGTCCAGAAGGTCTAGGGATCAGTGTGGAGTCTCCATAGTTGTCAAGGACTTAAGCTGGGGTGTTTTTGTTTTTTTAGATTTATTTATTTATTATACATGCTTCTGCCTGCATATATGCCTACAGGTCAGAAGAGGGCAACAGATCTCATTACAGAGGGTTGTGAGCCACCTCATGGTTGCTTGGAATTGAACAAAAAGTCTCTGAAAAAGCAGCCAGTGCTCTTGACTGTTGAGACATCTCTTCAGCCCCTAGCTGTTTTTATTTTTGCACCTTTAGTTTAGGTATCCTTTCTTATTTGTTTGTTGTTTTTCGAGACAGGGTTTCTCTCTGTATCCCTGGCTGTCCTAGAACTCTTGCTGTAGACCAGGCTAGCCTCAAACTCAGATCTGTTTGCCTCTGCCTCCCAAGTGCTGGGATTAAAGGCATGTGCCAATACTGCCTGGTTTATAGGTAACATTTTTAGGATTAGAATTATGGTACAAGATAGCTGCTAAAATGTCAGCCAGCCCATTTCAGTTTGAGGCAGAAGGAAATGGTTGTGTTAGCCTTTTATACACATCTTCCCAGAGGTCTCACATTATATTTATGTCTACAGTTCACTAACCAAACCTAGATTTAGTCATACTTAGTTGTAAAAGAAAATTACAAGATGTACTCTGTTGGTGCACATTGCTCTCTGTTGATAAAGTTGGGATTCTGTTATTAAGGGATAAGATGATAATAGTAAATCCTAGGTGAATAACCTATAGTGTCTACTGAAGTCCAAGAGAGAGATATTGTCCTGTTTTTTGTTTGTTTGTTTTTCACCTTGATACAAGCTAGTTATCTGAGAAGAGGAACTCAGCTCAGAAAAGGTCTCCATCAGATTAGCAGTTGTGAATTAATTGTTGATATGGAAGGGCCCAGCCCACTGTGGGTACTACTCCTGAGCAGACGGTCCTGGGTATAGAAGAAAGCAAACTGAGGAGTCAGATAAGCAGCCCCTACGTGGTCTCTGCTTCCATTTCTGCCCCCAGGTTAATGCCTTGACTCCTACCCTGTCTTTTCTCCATGATGGACTATCAACTGTAAGCCGAAATAAACCCTTTCCTCTCCAAGTTGCTTTTGGTCATGGTGTTTTTTATCACAGCAGTGGATACCTAAGACACAAATGTTTCAAAGAGATTGGGTGCTCTACACATATAGTCCCAGCTATTCAGGAAGCTGAAATAGATTTTCTTGAAAAGTTTGAGGACAGTTTGGCAGCATAGCAATAAGCTGTGTCAAAAGCAAACAATAAATTGGCATGGCTAGTGTATGCCTGTAAACCTAGCAGGGAGGCAGGGTGACCACAAGTTCACTGCCAGTCTAGGCTTTAGAATAAGAGGTGGTTAATGGAGAGACCATATTTCTGTTGTTTTTTTTCCTTTTCTTGCTTTTTCTTAATTTAAGTTAGAAACAAGCTTGCTTCACATGTCAATCCCAGCTCCCTCTCCCTCCCTTCCTCCCCCGCCCTCCCCACCAGGCCCCCCAGTCCCCCACCCAATCTCCACTCGGGGCCCCAGGAAGGATGAGGCCCTCCATGGGGGATCTCCAGAGTCTGTCATTTCATTCAGGGCAGGGCCTAGGCCCTCCCCCAAGAGTCCAGGCTGAGAGAGCATCCCTCATTGTGGGATGGGCAGCCGAAATCCTTTTGTATGCCAGGGATAAATACTACCTAAGGCCCCATAGATTACCTAGGCCTCCTCACTGACACCCACATTCAGGGGGTCTGGATCAGTCCCATGCTGTCTGTCTACCCACACATCAGTCTGGGGTCCAAGAGCTCCCCCTTGTTCAGGTCAACTGTTTCTGTGAAACCATATTTCTTTAGGAATACTTTTTATTGTTGTATTTTCAAGACAGGGTTTCTCTGTGTAGCTTTGGAACCTGTCCTGGCACTTGCTCTGTAAACTGGGCTGGCCTCAAACACACTGAGATCTGCCTGCCTCTGTCTCCCAACTGCTAGGATTAAAAGCGTGAGCCACCACTTCCCGGCAGAAATACTGTTTCTTGATCTGCTTTGTTTATTTACTTTTCCTTTTGGTAGATATTTGTCCTCACAACCTTCACTCCAGAGAGACCAATTTGGTGCCACATATATAATATCCCTGTCTCTGGGGTCTGGGTTGATTGTTTATACCTGAGAATTGGCTTCATTTTTCATCGACACCTTTTGTTTGTGTGATATGCCGTTGAGTTGTAGCTTCTGAAGACCCTTTTTATTTCCACACAGGCAATCTAGCTGCCAACGATCTCTCCACTTCCCGAACAGGCAGACTACAGAAGGTCCTTCACAGTTACGTGCCTCAAGATATCAGGGAAGGGAACCAAGTTCGAGTTACCTCATGGGATGGCAGGAGGTGGGGAGAGCTGGAGGGAGACACCTATGACCGAGTAAGTGATTTCTGACCTCCGTGTTCTGGCCTCAGGTCCTAGGGGTAGGATCCAACCCCCTGTGTTTTCAATGTGTGGGGCTGTTTTTGGACCTAGAAAGTTCTCCATGAGTGATTTGGAGAAAGAGCTATTTGCAGAGCTCTCAGTTCAGCTTAGATGACTCGCTACTATTTTCATTAGAGATAGTTGGCAGCAAAAAGAATTTGAACTTAACTGAGTGTGAAAAAAGTTATTAGGCACATTTTATTTCTGAAGTCACTTGGTTGCTTGGAAACCCTCACAAAGATGAGTATGAATGAGAACATTTTATTTATTTCTGAATATTAATATAGCACATAGTGTGAAATTCAGTAGGTATAAAAGGGTATCAGGTGGAAAATAAGCTTTCTTTTTAGACCTATACACAGCCATTTACTCCCTCTTCCTGCAGATAACTATTATTTTTATTTTTCTATAGCCTTTATATAATTTGTATATAAAAATATAAACTTGGGAGTTTTTTCAAAATAGAAATGACAGTGTGATGTTTTCATATTGACATCTATGACTTTTTAATGAATTAAAATATCCTCAGGTTCAGTCCTTTTCAATTCTATGCTTTGTGAAGTAAATTTGCTGTTAATGGTTTCTATTAGTTAAGATTTTGACAACGTTTGAGAAATTCTCTAGAGGTTCCTCCAGTCTTGCCTCCACCGGCAATGAGCATGTTTTCTGTATCCCATTGGTATTGCTACTGTCCAAATGCTGTTATCAGACTTACAGTGTCTCTCACATTCCTCCAGCTGTGTTATTGACTCTCCCCTTTTTATTTTTTGGTTTTTGAGACCAGGCTTTCTCTGTGTAGCTTTGTCTGTCCTGTAACTCGCTCTGTAGACCAAGCTGGCCTACAGAGATCCACCTGCCAAGTGCTGAGATTAAAGGTGTGCACCACCACTACCCCCCAGCTTTGAAACTCTTTTAATATTTTTAAGTTATTTCCTTTTTAAAAATTCTTTTATATCTATTTATTTTTGTGTGTATGAGTGTTTAGCTTTTTAAGTCTATTTTAAAAAATATAATTTATTTATTTTATGTGCATTGGTATGAGTGTGTCAGATTCCCTGGAACTAGAGTTATAGACAGTTTTAAACTGCCATGTGGGTGTTGGGATTTGAACCCAAGTCCTCTGGAAGAACAGTCAGTGTTCTTAACCACTGAGCTACCTCTCCAGCTCCAAGTGTTTAGCCCTCATGTATGTGTATGCCACATGTGTGTTTGTTGCCCTCACAGGTCAGAAGAGGGAGTCAGATTCCCTGGAACTTGAGTTACAGGCAGTTGTGAACCTTCATGTGGATGCTGGGAGTTGAACCTGGGTTCTCTACAAAAGCAACAAGTGCTCTTAACCACTGAGCCCCTAGTTATCTTCTTTTAATTAGCATGCTCTAAAATCACGTATTGAAAATGTGATTTATGGTCCCTATATATTGTATACATGTATAAAATGGACAGTGATGGTACATACCTTTAATCTCAGCATTCAGGAGGCAGAGGCAGGTGAATCTTTGAGTTTGAGGCCAGCCTGGTCTACAGAGTGAGTTCCAGTACAGCCAGGGCAACAAAGATAAAACTTGTCTTGAAAAACAGCAACAACAACACAGATCTGTAGGTTTCATGCCTTATGGGTAAGGGTTAGCACTCTGGATCAGGCTCTTGGTTTGAGGTCCTGGCTTCATGGCTTGCCAGCTGGAAACTTTGTGAGTTAAGCTTTCCTTTGTGCTTTAACTTCTTCAGTGTGGTTCATTGTACTGTCCGTCCCATAGGTGACTGACTAAGAATGCCTTTGCACAGACTATAGTAAGTGTTCAACATTATCTTCATTGTCACATTCCTCATCATTTTCTGTTCACTGACTCTAGTTATGTCTCGTGGAGCGACATAGAATGAATTCCCTCCCATTTTACTTGGCAGTGCTTTGAGCATTTGAAACAGCCTTGGCTGGACGATATCTCCATTAATTTGTTCGTTAACGAAATAGTAGTGTTCAGTTTGCTGTGTGCTAGGGAAGTGTTCGACACTTTAGATTCGAATAAGAATGCTACCTCAGGGCTCAACAGACTACACCATTCTTCCTTATTTTGCATCTGCACAGCAGTTGGGAGAGCGGTTAGTACTTTGCATGCTCCTAGCAGGGCAATCACCCTTCCCTTGCATTCACATGCTCTCTCCCCCCTCCCTCTCTCCTCTCTTCCTTCCTCCCTCCGAAAGTCAAAAAGTTTTTTTTTCAAGTAATTAAATGTCTATCTGAACATAAATCATAAACACACTGGAGGCCGAGATCCAGGTAGCAAACCGTCCTGGCATATGATGTAATCACACATTGGATGCTACCTAGTGTGGAGATGCCTGTGCCATGTCTGATGTTGACAAGCTTTGCCTTTTCCAAATGTTTGATATAACAGTACAGCTTCTATCCCTTATCGACTGGATAAGATCAACAGCTTTCACAGTTGACATTACTAAGCAATATCCAGGATATATTGGTACCAAAGTAAAAATATATTTGTCACTGATTTTCTAGTCTCGATGAAATCACATAGCTCTGTTGTTCATGTGCATGAGGACTCAGGACCCCCACATCCATGAGTGTCCTGTAGTCATTCTGCCGAGTCCAGCCAGCTTTTGGAGATAGCAAGAATTTCCACAACTTTCCTCCCTGTCCCCCCTACCCCACTTTCTTTTTAGATAGGGTTTCAGGAGGCCTAGGCTGACGTCAGACTAGCTGCTTATGTAGGAAAGGATGACCTTGAACTTCCTATCCTGCTGCCTCTACCTCCTATTGCTAAGATTACAAGTGAGTGTTACCACACCCTGTTCATTTTTCTTACTCTGTATGTACTTTATTAGTTCACCAAGGAATATATCAATATTGAAAACTGGGGAGGAGGGAGAGGGTGTTTTGTTTTTTTTTCAAGATACGGTTTTTCTGTGAAGCCATAGGTATCCTGGAACTCACTCTGTAGAGCTTGCTGGCCTAGAACTCAGAGATCCATCTGCCTCTGCCCCCGAGTGCTGGGATTAAAGGCCATGCACCACCAATGCCTGGTTGAAAACTGGGTTATTTGTAATTTACTTCATGTTTCTACTTTGTTAAAAAAAAATCTTTCCAAAGATGATTTTGTTGTTGTTGTTTTGTTTTGTTTTTTCGAGGCAGGGTTTCTCTATGTAGCTTTAGAGCCTGTCCTTGAACTCACTCTGTAGACCAGGCTGGCCTTGAACTCACAGAGATCCACCCGCCTCTGCCTCCCGAGTGCTGGGATTAAAGTGGTGTACCACCACCGCCACCACCACTGACACCACTGTCCAGTCCCCTTCTTCTTTTTCAAACAGTGCTGGGGATTGAGCCTAGGGACTTGTACATCTGACATTGTTTTAAGATAATTTTGAATTCTGATTCTGTTATATAATATCTGTAAATTAAGTACTGTATCATGTATAAATTGGATATTTTCAGTAAATAGCCAAGGAAAGAGCCTTGAAGCACTAAGATTTTTCCCTAGGTTCATATCAGTTATTAAATTACAATTATTTATACCCAGCTTTTGTTTTGAAACAGGGTCTCATGAAACCTAAGCTGGCCTCAGACTCACTGTGTAAACTGAGGCTGGTTGTGGCTCTTGATTCTCCTGCCTTTTTGAGATAATATCTTACTCTGTACCTTTGGCTGGCCTGGAAAACCAGGTTACCTTCAAACTTATAACAATCCTCTTACCTCTGTTTCTTTTTTTTTTTTTTTTTTTTTTTTTTTTGGTTTTTCGAGACAGGGTTTCTCTGTGGCTTTGGAGGCTGTCCTGGAACTCGTTCTGTAGACCAGGCTGGCCTCGAACTCACAGAGATCCGCCTGCCTCTGCCTCCCGAGTGCTGGGATTAAAGGCGTGCGCCACCAACACTTGGCCTTACCTCTGTTTCTTAAGGACTAGAATTACAGGCATGTACCATCATGCCTGGCTTGGTTTGGCTTTTTAACTATGAGTGTTTCTTTCTTTCTTTCTTTTTTCTTTTTTTGGTTTTTTTCAAGACAGGGTTTCTCTGTGTTGTTTTGGAGCCTGTCTGGAACTTGCTCGGTAGACCAGGCTGGACTCGAACTCACAGAGATCCTCCTGCCTCTGCCTCTAGTGCTGGGATTAAAGGTGTGCACCACCAATGCCCGGCTACTATGAGTGTTTCTAAATATGCTATTTTTCTACTTATTATTTCACAGTTCTCTGTCAGGTTAAAATGAGAACCCTTGTCAGGTACTCTGCAATGAAGGAATGGTTAGAGCTAGCATTTCCATTGAACTTGGTTGGCTTGGGGCCTAAATTGCTTTGACTTAAGTCAGAAGAGCCTAGAAGGACCTTTAATGCTTTGTCTTTCAACACTCTGGGTAGGTGTTGGTAGATGTGCCATGTACCACAGACCGCCACTCCCTTCATGAAGAAGAGAACAACATCTTTCAGCGGTCAAGGAAGAAGGAGCGACAGATGTTGCCTATGCTGCAGGTGCAGCTTCTCGCGTGAGTGATATAGATTCTCAGACATTAGAGCCTAGTCTCCTGAGACCATCACAGGGAAGAATCTTTTGCCTGGAAGTGATAGCCTTTATGAGATTGTCCTTTCTAAAATACTAACTACGGGCTGGAGAGATGACTCAGCTATTAAAGGCTAGGTTCACAACCAAAAATAGAGAATAATAACTGCACTCTCTCCATTTACCATCAGTGCCAGTGACTTGCATGTTTTTGAGAAGCAGATGCTGTCAGGTATGGTGGTATATATCTATATCAGCCTGGGCAATATAGTGAGACCCTGTCTCAGAAAAAGAAAGCAGCTGGAGAGATGACTCAGCAGTTTAGAGTACTGTCTGCTCTTGCAAAGCTACACAGTTGGGAAAAAAATTGTGTGTGTGTGTGTGTGTGTGTGTGTGTGTGTGTGTGTGTGTGTGTGCGTAATAGGGAGAGGAGAAAGAGGAAAGTGGGAGGGGCAAGGGTCTGTATGACTGAGGAGAGAATTCAACTGATAGCCAGCATATCGGGGTTTAGTTCACAACCAGACTAGGCTTCAAAGGATCATTCTTTCTATTTATTTGATTTTGTTTGAGACAGAATTTCTTTGTATAACAGTCCTGGCTGTCCTGGAACTCACTCTGTAGACCAGGCTGGCCTCAAACTTACAAGAGATCCACCTGCCTCTGCCTCCGAATGCTGGGATTAAAGATGTGTTCCACCAATGCAGAGTTAGGATCATTTTTTTAGGCTAATTTTTTTTTAATTTTTATTTTATTTATTTAGTGTATAGTCTCTGCCTGCATGCCAGCAGAAGGCACCAGATTTCATTCAAGGTAGCTATGAGGCACCATGTGGTTGCTGGGAATTGAACTCAGGACCTCTGGAAGAACAGTCAGTGTTCTTTTTTTTTTTTTTTTGGTTTTTTTTTTTTTTTCGAGACAGGGTTTCTCTGTGGCTTTGGAGGCTGTCCTGGAACTAGCTCTTGTAGACCAGGCTGGCCTCGAACTCACAGAGATCCGCCTGCCTCTGCCTCCCAAGTGCTGGGATTAAAGGCGTGCGCCACCAACGCCCGGCACAGTCAGTGTTCTTAACCTCTGAGCCATCTCTCCAACCCCTAGGCTAATTTTTTTTTTTTTTTGCTTTTTTTTTGTTTTGTTTTGTTTTTGTTTTTTTAAGACAGGGTTTCTCTGTGGCTTTGGAGGCTGTCCTGGAACTAACTCAGTAGACCAGGCTGGTCTTGAACTCCAGAGGTCCGCCTGCCTCTGCCTCCCGAGTGCTGGGATTAAAGGCATGTGCCACCACCGCCCAGCTAATTTTTAGTATTTTAAATTATGTATATGCATGTGTCTTCATGAAGCTGCTGTCCACATAAGTATAGGTGCCCATGCAGGTCAAGGATCCCCCTGCCCTGGTTTTGGAGTTACAGAAAATTGAGACATGGATGCTGGGTACTGAACTTGGGTGCTCCACAAGAACAGTATGTGCTCTTAACTGCTGAACCTCCAGTCCCATCAAAGGATTCTTCCATGGAGGCTTCCTAGAGCTGGGTGTGGTCTACTCCATCGGGTAGTAGACTGCCCTCTCCCTATGTTCCTAGCCCTCTGCTGCTCACATTCTTCCAAGAAGTATACTAGTTATTGCTTTGTTTTCTTGGTTTCAGGGCCGGACTCCTTGCCACCAAGCCGGGAGGTCACGTTGTCTACTCCACTTGCTCACTGTCACACTTACAGAATGAGTATGTGGTGCAAGGTGCCATTGAGCTTCTGGCCAATCAGTATAGCGTCAAGGTTCAAGTGGAAGACCTGTCTCACTTCCGAAAGCTTTTCATGGACACGTTCTCTTTCTTCCCCTCCTGCCAAGTTGGGGAGCTGGTAATTCCAAACCTCATGGCTAATTTTGGGCCTATGTACTTCTGCAAAATGCATAGGCTGCCATAGTGTCACCATGTCCTGAAGTAGGAAGACAGTGACTCTGTCAGAGGCGTTGAAGCAGACCAGTGGCAGAGATGCATTCCAAGGCCTGTCTCCATCCTGTGTATTTTCTAAAGATGTTGTAAACAGTAAAAAGTAGGACTACTGCCCAGTTGTGGATTATCAGCACGTTTCTAACTCAGACTCTCACTTATATCCTTTAGCCTAAACTAAGGTCCCTGCTAAATTAGGGGTTTAGATAGAATTGGTGAATAAGCCCATAGTTTACGCTGTAAACTTGGGAAAAAACATTTAGTCAATAAAGTTGTTGAAGTGCTATAGAGTTGGGCCTATAGTTGGTGACTTTATGTCAGTCTAAATTCCATTATGGTTCTCTGGGTCAGCTGAAGCTGCCTAGCACACTCTCCCAAGTACCCAACCCAGGCATGCAGCCCTCTCTCACTGGTGAGTTCCATTTAATCAGCTCACAGGCCCACCAGTCTTCCCAGTGTCTCCATATGGCACATGATCTAATTTAAGGAATAAGTAGCTAAAACTGTTGAGCTCGTGGCTGGTAATCCTCTTACACTGAGAGAGGTTTCCTAAGCTGAATGCTTCTGGCCTTCCTTTAGATGTGACTGCAAAAGCTGTTTCTGGTACCACTGTTTTGGTATGTTCTTTTAAATCTTTACATCATAGCAAGTATTCTATGAGTTCCTGTATGACAGCTATGGCACTGTTAGGGATATGGTTGGGACTGTGGGAATGACTGGGTTTCATCATCTTCAAAGTAGCAACTTCCTCCTTCCTTTTACTTTCCAAGTACCTAGCAATCTCCTCATATTTTATTTCAAGTCTCTTGTTTTTATTTCTAGTGTGTGCCAGCTTTGGCCCATCTCCAAATCCTTCAAGAGTTCTTCTAGCATAGCAGGGTTTACTTCACTCAGAGTGTTTTTGGGTGACATTATATAACATGTTGACTTGCATACTAGTGATTTTGTAACATTTTTGAAAGAAGGCAGCCTCTAGTGTCAAGGGATAGTAAACCTTGCTTATGGGCATATGTGCGTGCGCACGCGCACCTGCACACACATACACATACACACGTGTATCTTGTGAATAACTTAAATATTTCTTGGCTCTTCCCACTTTCTTTTTTTAAGATTTATTTATTTATTATGTATACAGTGTCCTGTCTTCATGCCAGAAGAGAGCATCAGATCTCATTACTGATGGTTGTGAGCCACCATGTGGTTGCTGGGAATTGAACTCAGGACCTCGGGAAGAGCAGTCAGTGCTCTTAACCTCTGAGCCATCTTTCCAGTGGACCCCCCCCACACACACACCTTTTTTTTTTTTTTTTTTTTTTTTTTTGGAGACAGGGTTTCTCTGTGTAGCCTTGGCTGTCCTGGAACTTGCTCTGTAGACCAGACTGGCCTGGGACTTAAAAGATCCACCTGCCTCTGCCTCCCCAGTGCTGTGATTAAAGTCATGTGCCACCACCAGCCAGCTTGGGGTTTTTTGTTTTTATTTGTTTGGTTTTTTGAAACTCTTTAATATTTTAATGTTATTTCCTTAAGTTCGCTGGGTGGTGGTGGCACATGACTTTAATCACAGCACTGGGGAGGCAGAGGCAGGCAATCTCTGTATGTTTGAGATCAGCCTGGTCTACAGAGCTAGTTCCAGGACAGCCTCTAAAGCCACAGAGAAACCCTGTCTTGAAAAACCAAAAAAAAAGTTCTTTTAGATTTATTAGCTATCTTTCCACTTTCTTCATCCCTCCTTTATTACCATTCTTTTTGCTTTCTCTGCTAATCCTTATTTGGGTAGTAGAAGTATCTGTTGGGAAGGACATTAGCAAAGGTTAAGGCATCTCCTTTCTTGAGATTTATATTAAGACTGAGGCCCCTGGAAGACCTTCCAGACTTTAAATCAAGTGAAGCTGGTAAGGGGGAACTCCAAAGAACTTGGCCGACGCCCTGAATAGGACCCTTACAGCCTCTGTTCATGGCATATAATCCCTGCCTGCTGTTTACTCTATACCTACATTACTGAAGCTGAGAGACTTCTGCCTGGCTTTCTGCCCATAGGCTCTTGGATATCTGCCTGGTGCTAAGCAGTAAGTATTGAGGAGGAGAGGGTCTACTGACCCTTGAGGACAGACAGATTAGGTAAGAAAACCAGAACTACTATATTAGGTAGGGTTTTCTAAACAAACAGAACCAATAGCATGTATATCTAGATGCACATATATATGCACATATATGTATATGTCATAAAAGGGATTTATTGGGTTGGGTAGAGACTGGGTAGAGTTCACCTATAGCCATTTGCCCACTGAAGAGGCAGAGAACTAGGTTCCCAAGGGTGCCTGAGCAGTCTCAATCCAAGCTGAAGCTTCCTGGAAATTTACTGCTGTTGTCAGTGTTGAGTGGCTGAAGAATCAGTCTGATGTCAGTGGGCAGCAGTAGCAGTAGGTGGTATCACTTGGAGCAGAAAGACTTGCTGGCTGGAGGGTTGCCTTCTCCATACTCACCTTCATCATCCAGGCAGTTTGCCCTTTTGAGGGTCCCACTCATAGTCAGGGTGGATCTTTTCCTTCCTGGCCACTGTCCCCTGGGCCAGTCCTCTCTGGAAACATTCCTGTAGACATACAAGTATATTTCCCCAGTCCAAGGCATCTCTTAACCTGGTCACATTGACATCTCAGACCAACTATCACAACTGCTTTGGAAAACAGTTTGTCTCCTATAATTGAACGTCTACCATCCTCTACCTCAGTTACTACAGATCTAAGGATCAATTCAAGAGAAACTTATCACAAATGCTGGTGTACCTGAAGCCTGGACACAGTCCACGTGTCTCTGAGCAAGAAAGGGGATGAATATTCACACAATGGAACATATGGTGTATAATCTTACTTTGTATTACCTTGCAATCTGTCAGTGTGATATTTAATATATTTAATAATATAGCCACAATCACCAAGAGATATTTGAAAATAATTCTATCCTTAAAAGTTACCATCTGGGCCGGGCGTTGGTGGTGCACACCTTTAATCCCAGCACTTGGGAGGCAGAGGCAGGCGGATCTCTGTGAGTTCGAGACCAGCCTGGTCTACAAGAGCTAGTTCCAGGACAGCCTCCAAAGCCACAGAGAAACCCTGTCTCGAAAAACCAAAAAAAAAAAAAAAAAGTTACCATCTGGCTGAGCGGTGGTGGCACACACCTTTAGTCTCAGCACTCAGGAGGCAGAGGCAGGCAGATCTCTTGAGTTCAAGGCCAGCCTACTCTACAGAGCAAGCTCATCTTTATCTTTGGGGATCACTCGATTTTTGGTATGTCACTTTTGAACAAGTTAAGGGCATTAGGATTATTTAAAGTCTAAAGATCCCCTAGTGACCCTAGGATCTTTACTGTGGGTTTGCAACTGGTCTAACTGGTTAGGTGCTTTTGGCTTAATTTCATGATCAGGATATCCTAAAGCCCTCCTGGGAACTTCTGATTTGAACTTTCCCAAAGCTAGTATTCAACCACAGCAAAACCCTTGATGATGTGTGGTACATGCCTGTAATCCTAGAACTTGATAGGTACAGGCAGAACTATGAGGAGTTCAGGGTCATCCTTAACTCAGTAGATTCTAGTCCTGCCTGGGCTGCATGAGATCCTGTCTCAAAGAACTAAAAACCAACCAAAATAACAGGACTAGAGCTCAGCAGTAGTAGTGCGTGCCTTTAATCCCAGTACTTGGGAGGCGCAGGCAGAGGCAGGTGGATCTCTGTGAGTTTGAGGCTAGCCTGGTCTACAGAGTGAGTTCCAGGACAGCCAGGGCTACACAGAGAAACCTTGTCTCAAAACAAACAAACAAAAAACCCAAAAAAACAAAAACAAAATTATCCAATTAATAAATGGGCAAATCAAAATAAGCAATATAAATGATTAAGAAATACATTTTTAAATGAGCCATCAGGGAATGCAAATTAAAACCATACTAAGTGATATATATATATATAATTTAAAAAATAAAGGAAAAACAGCCGCACATTGGTGGTGCATGCCTTTAATCCCAGCACTCGGGAAGTAGAGGCAGGCGGAAGTTCAAGGCCTGCCTGATCTACATAGTAAGACCCTGTTTTACTACTACCACCAAAACAAAACAAAACAAAACAAAAAGCTATCACTTCCCCTGGAACTAGAGTTACAGACAGTTGTGAGCTGCTGCCACTCGTAAGTGTGAGAATAGAACCCAGGTCCTGTGGAAAAGCTGTCAGTACTATTAACCACTGAACTATTGTTCCAGCCTAGGCTGCCTTTGGATTAGCTATGTGGGATGATCTTTATCCTTTACCTCTCTGGTGCTGAGGGTACAGGTATGCATACCAAGCCTGATTCTCCATGTCTGGATCTTCATGTTTACCCTAACACTTTAAGTTCCTATATCAAGGTCTTTGATCCATTATGGATCAATTTGTGTATAGAATGAGAGAGGGATCTAGTTTCATTCTATGTATGGATATCCATTTTTCCAGCACCATTTTTTGAGGATGCTATCTTTTATGCAATGTATGTTTTTGTAACGCCTTTCTTTAGACTGCCAGCTCTCTAATAAATTAACCCATTTATAGTAATCTACGTTTGCCATGTGGCTCATTACCTCTGCTCAGTACCATATGTCCAACTTGCTCCAAGTCTGACTGGTGAATCTCCTGAGCCTCTGATTCTTTCCTAGCGTTCCTACCTCTTTCCAAAAGCCTCACCTATTCTCTCCTGCCTAGCTATTGGCCATTCAGCTCTTTATTAAACCAATCAGAAGGTGCCTTAGGAAGGTGAGGTTAAACAGGGACATATCTTTACACAGTGTCCAAAAGATTATCCCAACATATTTTTCAAAATCTTTATTCAAAGATTAGGTAGTTGTATCCGGCTTGGTGGCTCACGCCTTTAATCCCAGCATTCAGTGGGCAGAGACAGGTGGATCTTTGTGAGTTTGCATACAGCCCAACCTACATAGCAAGTTTTAGGACAGCCAGGACTGCACAGTGAGCCTCTGTCTCAGAATCAAAATAAGTAAATAATCAGTGACTTTGGCTGCCTGGGTTTATTTCTGGGTCCTAACTCTATGGAAGCAGTGTTTCTGCCTGGCTTAGATGAGAAATCATGAAGCACCACGGGTTGGCAGCTGTCTTGAGATGGCTGAAGGTCGCTGACACATGTGGAAAAAGGCAAAAAACATGCAGATGACTGAGCATCTGCCAGTACCCTGATTGGATGCTATAGCTGATGCTGGGCTTCCTCACTTCAGGTAATTCAGGCTGCCTTTTTTTTTTTTTTTTTTTTTTTTTTT